TTTTTTTTTTTTTTACAAAAATAAAATCTTTATTTTTGAAATTAATAGTTGAAAACTTCAGGTATCTTGGCCAGAAAGACCTCACTAGTCCCCTTCCTGATTTCAGATCTATGGATGCCCTCGAGATAATGTACGTAAATATGGTAGCCTAATCGTCCGATCTGAATTCATATCGCAGTATTAGTTCTAAGTTCAATCTTACCATAGAATCATCTACTTGTTAATTATTTATACCCAAATAAAACTTCAGAGATTTGCATGGAAATGGTCTTATTGGAGCTATTCCTTCATTCCTGAGCGAATTTCCCAAGCTAAAAGTACTGTAAGTCAACCCAAAAATTTCTACATTAATTGCACTAGTGCATGAAAATTTTGTTACATATAAATGACTCATTTTTATCACATTTTCTCATTCATTACAAAGGAATTTAGCAAATAATCGTTTCAGTGGATTGATACCAGATTCACTAGCATGCAATAACAATTTGGAGTTAAGGTAAGCCGAAACAAATAAACCCTTTTGTGCTCCGCCTCTAGGAGTTCGTATTAAGTTTTATTTTCTTTCCGTATAAATAAAGAGGCGACCCTAATCGTGATTTGAGCAAAATAAGCATATGGCACGTAAATTTTCTTTGATCAATTAGTGACTTTTTTTTAACATCTTTTGATGGCAGTTTAGCTGGTAATACTGATTTACACACATCCAATTCATGTACGACATCAAAAACTGAGTCTCTTCCACCTCCTACAAGAACAAACCCTAATACCCCATCTGATGGCACCTTTGAATCTCCTCGAACAAACCCTGTTGCTCCATCTGGTGGTACCTTTGAATCTCCACGAACAATCCCAGGTACTCCATCAGGTGGTACCTTTGAATCTCCACGAACAATCCCTGGTACTCCATCAGGTGTTACCGTTGAATCTCCGCAAAAAAATACTGATACACGAACAAACATCAGAAAGACGAAGAAAAACAAGTTGTCTCTAATACTAGGGAGCACCGGCTCTGGAGTCGTTGTATCCTGTATTATTGGGGCCATTTTAGCTATATTTCGTCGCAGAGAAGACGCAGCCGAGGTGGCATAGTTATGTCAAGTATTTGATGCATGGCTCAAGATTCCAATGTTATTTCTAGCTGTTTTCCAATGGCAATTTATAGAATATTTCATTTCTTGCTTCTATATATTACAAATTTCCTGTACAAAGGGCAACTTTGGCACGTCGGATGACCAAAGGTTTCATTCCTGGAAGTCCAAGTTCCAACCATGGAATGGAATTGAGATTTTAGAAAACTTCAAATGCTGATGAAAAAATTTGCTAAATGGTTCTATTTCAAAATTAATAAACATAGCAGATGATCGTGAAAGTTTAGAATCCTAGAGAAAATTGACGAGCACGATGGAATTAAAAAAAAAAATCCAACGGTATAAAATGTGCGGTGAATTTCATTTACCTGCTCATGACATAATATATCTAGTTGCTGAACCAGTTGGCCCTAAAGATTATACGTGCAATA